CGGGGTTTGTTCCTGGCAGCCCTCCGGGCCGCCGGCTGGTTCCTTCTTTTAAAAATCACAGCGCAGTGAGGTGCGGGATTTGTGGGTTCCAGCGAAGAAGAGCCAGGCGTTTTCAAATTGGACTTGCTCTCTTGCTTCAGCTACTAGAATCGATCGTGGTGAGGATTCACCCCCGAGCCTCACGAAATTACTGCATTAATTACATTTTGTAACGTTCAAAAGCATGCAGCTGTAGTGGGCTATCCTGCTTGGACAGCTTGGGAACCTACATAGTTTACGAAAGGTTTATTGTGCAAAGTTTGAGCTCAGCTTAATTGACGGTAAATCAGCTGTCCCAGTTCTGGTTTATTACTCAGGGTTTTTTAAACTGAACATATAGGGAAACCCTACAGATCAAGATCGCCTCACTCCAGCAAAGCAAATACACCTGTGGACAAATCAAAGGTGGATTTCCCGCTCTTTCAAATCCTCGCCTTTTGGTGCCAATGTAGATGTAGAACCCGCAAGCGGAAGGCTGCATCGCGCCGTACCTTGTGCAGCTGACCACGGCTCTGTTTTAATCTCGTGCTGGTATATAAATTCCAAAGTAACGCAGGCAATCATCACTGCAAGCGGCTCTGCGTTATCAAATCTTGCTCTGAACCAAACTCACATTTGAGTCAGGTACAGTTAAAAACTAAAACCACGGCGTCTTCAGAACCTAGCTGTTCTGTCCTGGAGATAAATTTAATTAGCTCATAAAAAGTCAGATGTTGTTTAATCACTTCGTTAAAGTGATAGTCTGATGTAATGAAATAACAGTTGAGACCATCAATATCGAAGGCAGTTGGAGCAAACGTACAGAGCAGAGAACTGTGAGTAATCTCTACATCACGGCACTACGCAGGGACACAGACCATCCATCCGCTCTGTCACAGCTCGCACAGAAGGGCGGGTTTGCCCTTGATCAAGATAACTGTATTTCGAGGCGATGGGATGCTATACGCTCTGTCACAGCTCGCACAGAAGGGCGGTTTGCCCTTGATCAAGATAACCGTATTTCGAGGCGATGGGATGCTATTTTGCAGGGAATCGTGATTCATTTGACTGCGTTAACGATGTGTTTTGCATAGTTTCCTGTCTCCCCCGTCTTTCAATCCATTCATATACATTATTTATAAAGAAGTGCAAACACTTTCTTCCCTGGTTTAATACATGATGACCTGCTCCTGAAAAAAGTCCTGCACATAATCTATACATGTTATTAAACAGGAAAAAGGTACAACAGTGAGTATGTCACTGTCATCTTTTGTTGTCCCCAATTAGTTCCAGTATAACCCTTTCTGCTTCAAGAGAAACCAGATTATAACTTGTCTGTCAAGACTGAGGTTTATTTTATGCAACGTGTAATATCTGAGCAACCAATGTCGTAATTATCCAAATGATTACCCTATCAGTCAGCAGCTCATTTGGCCTGAAGACCTTTACATCTTTTTGCTGATTATGTACTTTCTGAAGCAAAGACAAATGGTCATAACGAGTCCTAGTGCATCTGGGTATAAGGGCAAGTAAGTATTGCAGTGCTCGGTATGCCTCGGACCAGCCCAACGTAGGTCTACTAACCGTCAAAAAAATGGAGACTCAATATGAATTAAATAGTATTAGACTAAATTTTCTATCATCTCCTCTTTTTTTATTCTGCTGTTTAGAATGCTGGTGAAAAAAACGATCTTTTGATCAAGACTCAGTGACTTCCCCCCTTCTTGTTCCTTTCCTGAAAGAAATTTTCGTCGTAGGCAAGTGGGCAACAACAGAATAGAGCGTAATGAAGCTAAGAGAAATTTTTAATTTCAGGCAGCCGAATCTTAGTAATGACCAGAGCGTAAGATCTGTATTTAGTCTCCACCATGCAGAGTGCAGGTAAAGTTGTTCATACAAACATAATTCAGTGAGTTGACAACTCCGAGGGTGTACTAAAGCAGACAACTTCATGGCTGAGCGGGCAGGAGGAGGAACTGAGGGAGGCCGAGGCACATTTGTAAGCGGAGTTCTCCTCTGGTTTGACTGAGGCCAGGTGCCCAGGTGGACTCATGTTAGAAACCACTTGAGATTAATTTGTTGCTGGGAGATGAGGTGCACTGATAAATCAGGGACCTTGTCCTTTTGTGGGTTGGTAAGTACGGACAAACCTTAAGATTTCCCCTCCTCGCTGGCCGTGTTTATGTTTTGTTTCTTTTTCCAAAACAGATGCGAATGCAGTCACAAAGGGATTTATCTCTGGGCACACGCTGAAACAGGGCACAGCTAGCGGTTCCCTGGACCACAGGATTAGGGAGTATAACAAGGCTGCTGCTGGTTTGGTACACACAATTTGACAATATAAAGAGTTCTTAAATGGTCGTGTAAGTGTGGTTCACTGTTCAAACACGTTCAAAGCCTGTAACCTTTGTGCTCGTGACCAATTGGTATGTTACTCATAGTTGTTCCACCCACAGGCTTGGCTCCGAACAGTGCACCTTCATAAATACTGTTTGCCTATTATCAAGTTGATAAAAACCAGCGTGTGTTTGTACAGAGCTTTTACTTACTTCTCATAGCGCAAAGCTGCTTCTTCCCTTCCTCTTCCTTACTCTTTGTGCTTCATCTCACGGAGGAAGACAGACAGACATCTTACTGACAAAAAACTGGCTTCACAGAAGACAGAATTCCAGCTTTAAAGGCTTACTAGAGAACGCCACGGCACAAATGGGCCTCCAGAGCACCAAACACTCCAAAGTCAAGCAAGCTAATATACTGATGTTAGGACTGGATTATGCGGGAAAATCTACACTGTTGTACAAGTTCAAGTACGACGATGCTTTTCTAACAATTCCAACAATTGGCTTTAATGTTGATATGATTGAAACCGGGAAGGCTTTTACATTGACGTTTTGGGATGTTGGAGGACAACAGAAAATGAGGCAGGTTTGGGGCAATTTCCTGGAAAACGCAGATGGACTGCTGTATGTTGTGGACAGCTCTGATAAGCGACGTCTGGAAGAATCAAAGAAAGAATTTGAAATCATTTTAAAGAATGAATTTATCAAAAATGTACCAGTCATCGTGCTAGCAAACAAGCAGGATTTGCCTGGCGCTTTGAACGCTGAGGAAATAACCAGGAGACTCAACATGAAGAAATACTGCAGTGACAGAAATTGGTATGTACAACCCTGTTGTGCTATCACAGGAGAAGGTTTGCCAGAAGCTCTCCAAAGACTAACCACATTTGCAAAACACCACAGCAGATCAAAGGAGACTTCTACAATCTTTAAGGAAATCGAAACACCTTAGGAAATTCTATCATCAAATTCTGGTGAACGTTAACATATTTTGTTGGACAGACTCAATCTGAAAATACTGGCTTCTGGAGAACTCTTAGAAGTAAATATTTATAAAGAACTTCAACAATATTAAATTATACTGTTATACCTGCAGATGCTTCTGAGATACTGTGCTGCAGCACTTTATTAGTGATAGTATACTTGGAGTTATTCAGCTCAGAAGTGTGGCTCTTGAGCGATGAAAAAGTTGGAGCTGAGCTTCTGAATTCCAGCAAGTGGAAACAAAATAGATGAGCAGTGCTTAAACGCTTGAATCAAGTCATTTTGTCAAGATGTAAAATAGCCAAGTTGTTCATTCTTTCAGCAAGAAAAGCGAGAGATAAAATGTTGTTTCGTAACAAATGCTCCGTGGATGTATTTCTAATGTAAAAATACAGTTGTTTTAGAGCTTAAACTCTTCGTTATGTACAAAGGAACCCCTGAATCTGAAATACTTGTTGGATATTACTGCATTCTAGAACCAATTACTCCAAACAGATTTTAACAAACAGGATCTGCTCCTCATCAAGCCACAGCCCAAACCGAGATCCAGCGCTGTTTGTAAGGTGGAGGTCTGACGTCCCTGTGTTACAGATTTCCATGTACCGATTTCTTTGTTTCGGCACCGCTGGACTGCTATCCTTAGCCAAGAGCAGAGCGATGGAAGCCAGCGTGGGATCAGTCCAGCGAAGCGCTGATCTCTGTTGGTTTTGGGGTGGGGGATAAAAGGGGGAGGGATGGGGGGGGATTGGCACCTTGGTCGTTTTTTAATAGATTTTGGTGCATGCTGTTCTGCCTGTACTGAAGCCACCTGAAATTTTGTTACTGATACATTTCGGTTTGATTAAATTAGACATAAGTGGCACAAAATTGCTAATCCTATTGCTGCAGTTTGTAGAAAAGAATTCCAAATGAAATGTCTGTTCAGATTTCCTGATTGATGGAGCAAATTAGTATTCTGAACGCCATTAAAGCAACAAAGAATTGACAACTAGGAGACTAATTGAACTGTATCAACTGTGAAAACAGTTTAAACACTAAGGCTGCAAAGTTAATAGGGCCTGCTCTTTTCAAAGCAAGAGAAAAGAGACCATCTAATTATTGGTTATACAGTCCCAGAAAATCCAGCCCAATTATTTCCGCCTTCTTGAGCAATATCTGCAGAGGTAGGATGCTGCAGTGGTTAGGATGCTTGCTTAGATGATAGCTGAATTTTTTTTTTTCCCCTACATCTACCACAATCTTGGACCATGGGCAAGTCCTTTAATCACTCTGTGCCTCCACAGTCCCTTGGCAAAATGAACTTCCCAGTTACGCACTCTGAAAAAGTTGCGGCAAGGGTCAGCTTGTGAGCCTTCCTCTTGCCACAAAATGATTATGCCGAGTAATTCACCTAAGAAATTTACACTTAGTTCTTACTAATAAACAGGCAGGAATTTCAAGTTATAGAAGGGTGAAGCAGCAAGAAAAGCACCCAGACGTACCCTGTTGTCTCATGCATATATTATTCAAAGACAAAAAAATCATCAGGTGAATTTGCTGAAATAGGAGACAAAGGAAGGTTTCTCAACAGAAGCTGTTATTAATACTGACGGTCATTACCATGGGCTAAATCCTGAGTCATGTTGAGACTACATTTCTAAAAGCAGAGCAAATATTTAGACTTGTCATTGCCTGGTCTGATGATTTAGGCTCAATACAAAATATCACCTTCTGTCCCCCAAAAGATTTTTAAAAGTCTGCAACAATGGGAACATTAGTCTTCTAAACCCAACAGTTCAATGTTAAAAAATGCAGTATTTCTGATCAATACATTTACAAACATTTACATGTGTATGTTGCGTATGGAATTCTCGCACTAGTTTAATCTAGTCCTGTGTCTATTATAAATCTGAATCTCGTTCACTGGCCTCAGGACTTCCTCAGGGAGAAATGCTCCTTGAGAGATTTAATGAGAGTGCACCAGGGTCTCTAATTAGACAAGAAGCAAGTTCTGAAGGGAGAAATAAAGTAGTATAATAGAGCAGCTCATAGAGCTAAAAAAGAGAATAAGCTTTCAGGCACACACTCCCTTCTCCAGGTTATCAAATTAGATTCAGTGATACTCACATTGACTTGAAGAAAATCTTTTACATTATGCTTCAAATGAAATAAATAAACCCTATTCCATTCACTTTACAGATTATCAAGTATTTAAAAACGGATTTTTCTAAGAGCTTGGTTTCCTAAAGAACTGAAGCTGTGCCCATCTTATCTGCCCATGGAGAGCCCTACTTTTTTTAAATAATTTTTAAGCTTTAAAACAAATATCAAGCAAGTTGGATAGAGGCGCAGGTTCTTGAAGGAATTATATGCCTGAAAGTTTAATTTAAAAAAAATCGGTGAGAGAAAGAAAAGTGACCATAGCGGTGCCCCCAGTGAAGGCAAGGCTGGTAAGGTACAAAGGACTAATCCCCTGGGAGAGCCATGTTCCGTGTTAGCCGCAGGAGAGCCTACACGAGGACATAAATCCACAGAGCCCAGACTTAATTAGTTCCTCTGCTCCTGGAGCTAGTTGGTCGTTTGCTACACTGCATGAGTAAATAGCATATTTGCGCGCTTCCTTAGGACGAGGAGACAGAGGATATAGAATCCACTGCTTCAAATTTCCTTTCTACACCTGGAGTAACAAATCTCCCTGACTACTCAGCATGTTTTGGGAAGGATCCCTGAAAAAGCGTATTACGTGGGCAGGAAGGTGCAGAGGCAGCGGAACTTCTGGCTCAGTTCTGCAAGAGTGCAGGGGAGAGCACGGCGCTGCCCGCTTTGCAGCCGGTGCGGCTCCTTTCCCCAGCCCGGGAGCAGACTGGGGTTCGCTGAGAAGGAAGGTCAGTTGTCGGAGGCAGGAGGGAGCATCTGTGCCTGCAGGGACCCCAGGGCACTCTTGGGTCCCTGCTGGAAGCCTGGAAATGGTTTGGTATCTGAGCCCATCACGTGTTAGGTGGTAAAATCAATAGCTGGGAAGTTACAAAGGCGTTTTACAGCTTCATCCTGCTATGGAGAGTTTTAGATCTTTTGACTGCTTGGCTGAACAATATAATGAGCAGAATCGTCTTTGTGTTTCAGAGCACAACAAAGTGGAATTCTGCTTGTGCTAAAAATACAATCCACGGTATCGTAAGCACAATTTATTCCTGGATAAGTTTTGTTTTATTTTATTATTTAGAATTTATATAGGTTACTCACTGAAAACAATGTTAGAGTTTTTGAAAGGTTCGGGGTGCTTTGAGGTGGTGAGAAATCAGAACACGAAGGGTGCTGCCCTCTTGGCAGCAGAACCAAAGTCTATGACTTGAAAAGTTTGCGTGGGACAAAAGGCCTTAAAAAGTTTGGGCCCCTCCTCAGCTGTTTGTATCACTTTAGGTTTTGGAATTTTTTTCATTAGCTTTCCTAACAAATCACACCCTGATCCCCCTGGTGTTTCTTGCTTTTTTTATTGATTCATACTGGCAGCCTAGTGCAACTGCAATGTGGTGGTAGAAGCAGTACAACTACGTTGTAGCTAAAGTGCACAAGTCCTCCGGTGTCTGCTAATATTTCTTACACAAAGTTTGCTGTACCTGTTTGTTTCTGCTGACAGAACAGTCATCCGTGAAGAAATCAATGGTACATATCTGAGATTGTGAAACACAGAGGGTAGGATCTGCGAAACCTGAGGCACGCTGTATCCTGTGCCCTCTCAAGGAGATTATCCACTGGGACGTGTTTGGATGTGACAAGTTAAAAGTTGACAAATCCAGAGTATGGGGAAATGTCCCTTTGACCAGTCAGTGATAAGATTACTGTGGTATAAAATCACAATGAGCTTTCCGAGTTTTGAAATAGCTGTCATGGAGCTCCTCGAACATAGTTCCAGTGAGATGAAATGCTATTTTAGGGGAAGGTGTGGAGCAGCATAAGAAACCATTGCAAATTTGGATAGTAACACTCCATCCATCTTTGCCTGGGAGACAACACTCCCAGTAATTGCATACTTGGCAGAATCAAAGGGAAGCGTAGTGTACAAGAGATGCAGGACAAGGCTTTGTCAATATCAGGTAAGGCAGAGTTTACTTAAAATGTCTCTGTTGCCACCTCCTCCTCGTTTCTGACAGGTTAACTGAAACAACCAAAGGAAAGACTTTCATAGATCAAACAAGTTCTAAGTCTACTGCAAAGGAAGATGATACTTTGAAGCGCTATATGCATATTAAACTGCTTAAAGCAGGCTTTCTTCCCAAAGTAAATGACCCATGCTGAGTTCTGTGCTGCTACAATTCGACTTCATCCATTTATAATTAGCTGGAGTATTCCTATTCAGCACAAGCACAAGGATGCTGGACATACATCTCATCAGATCACACAGGCTGGATTATACAAGTCTCTGTAATTTAGGATGCATACTCCTGCGGGTGGAGGCCCTACTTTCAAAGCACACACCATACTGCAGGTACAATTTGCAAATATAAATTCAGAAAACAGTAACAAGTCCAAACACACCTTATTTTGAACGCATGTAATTTAAACAAATTGTGCATTACCTTGTGTTTCAGTTTCTACAATATTCTGTTCTTTAGCTGTGATAAATGTTCTTGTACCATTCCCACTCATTCACGAGGTGTTTGCAGTGTAACTGTACCACATCCAGCGCTAAGTTGGGCTGCCATCAAGGGACACCTCCCCTCACCCTCTGGCACCTCCGCATCCCCCTCCCCAGCTATGTATTTACACTTGCAGGTCTCTGCACAGCAGAGCCTTCTCACTTTCCTTCTCCTCCACCAGTTATCAAAACGATGACGCCAGTTTTCGTGGTCTTTTTATTAAGATTTTCATTGAGGGTTTTTGTGCTTGCTCTCATGCTGCTCCTTATACTTGGAATTACCTAAACATCTTTACAAAACCATTTTGTTGTTTGCTTTCGGCTCCTTCCTTACAGCACTCCTTTCCCACACT